CTACGCAAAATCCCTCCCAGCCTCATCTATGTCAGGCAGGCTTGTTTTTGCCTTTGTAGGCCCTAAGCACTCTTACTTGTGGAGGCTCCAGCAAGCATCATATTAAAATGCATTCACATCCTCAATTAAACATTTATATTTTGCTATAAATTTTTGAAAAGACTTTTGTAATTTTGCTTTTGAAATTACTTGTCTGTGCATAACTAATTTAGTTTATAATGGCTGTGATTTCTCCATAATAATTATTCAGACTTGGGAAGTAAGAAACACCACCCTAAAAACTCTTTTCAAGTATCATGGGCTTTAGGACTGGGGATGTAGCTCACTGCTACTGCACGTGGCTAGCATGAGCAAGCCAAAAACACCCCGGCACCACAAAAAGCCCAACAAACAAATAGAATGGATTTTGAAATAAATTTAACAGTTAATGAACTTGATCTAACATCCTATTTTGTAGCCACTTCATTATATTTTTGAGTTTGCCACTTTCTGTTAGTATTGTATAGCCATGAAATCTTAAAGATCTCAATTTTCTTTTTTGCTCTGCTAGGGATGGAATCCAGGGCATCCTGCATGCTAGCCAAGTGCTCTATCATTGAGCTACACCCCCTGCCCAAGATTTCAATTTTTTATTTTGTCTCTGAAAATTCCTGTAAGTTTGAGACACTAAGTGATAGTTGTCTAATGGATTAAAGGCACTGAGCACTCAATCTCATGGGGGGTGGTGAAGGCGGTGAGATTTGTGTTTTGTTGATGTTAAAGATTACCATATTTACATTTTGTTCAGTGACCATTTAACTCTTTGCATTCAATATTTCTTATATGCAATCACCATTTCCTTTGTGAGAGATCTCAGTTTTTAGAGTCCTTACCTCAATATATTTCAGTTTCTTATTTTTCACCCAACAAATAGATATTGAGAGCCCACTTAATGTAAGACACTGTTTTAGGTACTGGGGACACTGTAAGCTTGGGGGGAAGATGTTTCTTCTCTTTTCTCTAAAAATCTTTGTCTTTTCCTCAGTACTGGAGGAATTTGCTTGCAACCTTGCTACCTCTCTCTTCTAGCATTATAAATGGCCCTCTTTACTGGCTCTTTCCCCTTTGCTTTAAAGTGGCTTCAGACTCTGTGGAAAACCTCTGTTTGACCTTTAACTAATTTAATTAAAATTGTATTATGTTCCTTTTATTTCCAAATCTGTCCAGTGCATGGTCTCTTTCCTCTGCTTTCTCATGACACAGTCTCCCACAGCCCCCATTCCCCATACTCTTGCTTCTATCCTCATTGCTTATTGAAACCACACATATTTAGTGGTCTCCAGTGAAATTCTTGACACATCAAGAAAAGTCTCTTGATTTTCATTTTTCTTGGCCCATTTTAAGCATTTGACACTGGTAACCCTCCCTTACAGCTTGTTTCTTTATTTTTCATTTTCATTAATTGCAAACAATTCCCAATGCAGGAAAGTACATGGAATAGCATATATACATATATATGTGTATATATATATGTACATATATATATATATAATCACATATATACCCACTACCAAGTTCTATCAAATCTCATAATTGCAGTATTAACTCTGAAATTGTGTTTCAAGACATAAATATTGTAGCTATAGTTGATATTCCCTGTGTACTCCTCCCCACTCTCAGTCCTCTTCTCCTCTTCCTCCTCTTTCTTCTTTCTCTCTCTCTCTCTCTCTCTCTCCTTCCCTTCCCCTCTCCCTCCCCCTCCCCCTCCCCTTCCATTTCTTTCTCCCTCTGTCTCTCCCTCTCTCTCCTTGATGATCCTCATGCTTGCTAGGCAGCTGCTGTACCACTTGAGTCATACCTTAGCCCTCCCTCTCTCCTCTGTCAAGCTTCAGGATCATGCTGGTTCATGTCTTCTAACCATTACTATAAATCTATGGAGCTATGAGCAACAGATGATATTTTCAGACTTTATATAAATATTGTATGATACATATTTTACAATTTGCTTTTTGCTCAACATTACATTTTGAGATTTAAGTCTCTTACTACTTATAGCTTAAATTCATTCATTTTAATTTCAGAATAGTATTTAGCCTCATGAACAGTATAATTTATCCACTTACCTGTCAACAGGCATTTAATTTGTTTCCATTTTTGAAGGTACAAAGAATGCTTCAATGAATATTAGTTATTGTCTCTTCATATTCAAAGATTAGGATTTTGCCAGGGTATATACCTGGAAATAGAATTTCTAGGTTGACGGGTGCATTCAACTTGACATTGTTAAACTGCTCTTCACAGCAACTTTACCAACTTACACTCCTTCTAGCAGTGGATCAGAGATCTGTCTATTGTAAATCCCCAGCAACACTTGATCTTTCTTGACTTTTTAATTTTTTTTGCCAAATGAATACCAGTGAGATGATATCTTATTGTTTTATTTTCTGATTTCCCTGAATAATAATAAACTAAGACATCATTTCATTTCTTTGTTAACCATTTAGATTTCTTTGGCAATGAATTGTTTATTCATATGTTTTGTCAAACTTTCCTGTTGAGTTCTTTGTGTGTGTGTGTGTGTGTGTGTGTGTGTGTGTGTGTGTGTTGCTGGGGATTGATTTTAGGGCATTGCTAGGCAATGATGTTAGGCAAGCACTCTACTACTGAGCTACAAACCCTGCCCTTGGTTTTTTGAGACAGAGTCTCACTATGTGGCCTAGGGTAGCTTCAAACTTAAGATACACCTGTCAGTGCCTCCTGACTGCTGAGATTACAGGTGTGCAACATATGCCCCATGGTTTCTTTTTATTATTTATAGGACTCCATATACATTCTGGATACTAATTCATCCATTCATTTAATCAATATTTTTCTAGCATCTTCTTTGTTCCAGGAATGGTTGTAGGCACTGAGAATGCAGTTATGAACAAAATAGACAAAACTACTTACCCCCATGAACTTACATTGTGATGTGGGAAAGTAAATGACAAGATTGAAAAGTGAATTACAGAGAACAGTTGATTGTCATAAATCCTGTGAAGAAAAATAAACAGGGAACAGGGATAGGGAACATGTGTGTATGGGAATGAAGAAAAGAAACTATTGATTTTTAATTTTAAATAAAGTGATTTAAGAAGGCCCCAGTGAGAAAGTGACATTTAGGCAAAGACCTGAAGGAGATGGCAGTTCAAACAGAATAAACAGCAATTATAAGGCCCTGAGGCAAGAGTGTGCCTGGCAAGTCCTAGAAAAAGCAAGGAGTCAGTATAACTAAGCAGAACAAGTTGGATAGAGTGATAGGACAGAAAGAGAGGCAGTAACAGCTAGAAGTTATAGGAAGTCATAGATTACCCTTTGTTAGTTGTATGCATTGAAAAATAACTTCTCCCATGCTGTGACTTGCCTTTTAACTCATTTGTAGTGTCTTTTTGGGGGAGGGGAGTTGTGACAAGGTCTCACTATATAACCTAGGCTGGTTTCAAACTCATGATTCTCCTTCCTCAGCCTCCAGTGCTGGGATTACAGGTATGTACCACCATGCCCAGCTTTCTTTTTCTCCTCCTCCTCCTCTTTCTTCTTCTTCTTCTTTTTTTTTTTTTGGTTGGACTCTATCCTTGTCCAGCTATATTGTCTTGAAGTAAACACATTTTGAAACTTAATGTAACTAAAGATACCATTTTCATTCCCTATTTCAAGATCACAAAAATGTTCTCATATTGTTTTCTTTTCAGTGCCGGGGAGCATAGCTAAGCATGTGCTCTATCAATCACTGAGCTATACCCCCAGGCCCCTATAGTTCCATTTTCTTCTGAAAGTTGTAAAGTTTTGCTTCCACAGTTAGATGTTTAATCTACCTGGAATTGATTTTTCCATTCATGGTGTGAGGTGAGGTTCTAATTTTATAATTTTTCGTGTGGAAAAACCAATATTCCCAATGCCAGTTAGTAAATAATCCATCCTTTCTGCACTGATTTGAAATGTCACATATGGTGAATATTAATTTTGCATATATAGGTGGCTCTGTTTTGAGACTTTGTGTTCTGTTCCATTGGTCTCTGTATGCCCAAGCTACAGTGTTAACTCCTACAGGCTTAAAGTCAGTCTTCAAATCTAGCCCAATATATTTTGTGGAACAAATGAATAACATAATTGAAATACTTTTTTGGGAAGGATTTTTTTGTGGCTGCCAACAGAGGTAAACAAGTTAAAAGGAGAGATAAAAGCCAGGGATATTTGGGGAAAATGCAGTGACACAGACAGGATATCATAGGGCTTACAATAAGACGATGATAGTGTGAAAGGAGAGAAAACCAGAAATAGAAAAGTCATTCCAAAGAAAATATTAACAAGGTTTGTTGATTGATTGGATGCAGAGGTTAGCAGAGGGGAAGCAAGCATGTGACTTTGAGGTTTCAAGGCTGGGTGACTGGGTGAAATGATGAGCTACTTATGTCACCCAGTGGTTTTTTTTTTTTTTTTTGTCTTGGCAGTACTGGGGTTTGAACTCAGATCAGAGCTTCACATCTGCTAGGCAGGTGCTCTACCACTTGAGCCATCTGCCAGCCCCGTTACCTGGTGTTTTAATAATGGGATGTCTTAGGTAACAGGTCTGGGCCAGCAATTTATATCTGGCCTTTGCCTGCTTAGAGGTGACCTGGAGGGAATGCCAAGGAGAAGCAAAGAATGGAAGAAGGGGAGAAAGCATCATTTCCTTAATAAGGATGTTGACTGTATGGCGTGGCTCCTATTGGACCAACACGTTTGAGCTCCCTCATAGGTAGGACTGTAGTTTGTTTCTATGTCAATCTTGTAAGTCCTCAAAACAATTCTGGTGTGTCACAGATAGCATTTCAAAAACGGATTCCTTTGCTGGACGTGATAGAGAAGACAGAGCCACCGCCCAGACTGTCGGGTCTCTGTCGCAGTTCCCCAGGTTGGCCGCAGGGGGCGGAATCTGCGGCGGCCTGGAAAACTGGCGTGGGCACGAGGCGCCGCTCTCTCTCGGGTCAGGCTCTCGCCTCCTGGCTCCCTGGCTCCCTGCTCCTTGGCTCCCAGGTTCCCAGGCTCCCAGAGCCTTGCGCGGAGCCTATTCTCAAAGCGCAGCCTAGGCGGGTGGGTGTCAGGACGCGGGAGGCAGTGTCGTCGGATCCGATCTCAGCCTGCAGCCCTGCTGAACCTGGAGGCCGCCCGGATGGAGCCGCGGCTCCCGGTCGGAGCTCAGCCCCTGGCCGTATCCGCCTGCGAGAAGGGGGAGGGGAGGCCGCGGAGAGCCGGGGGTGGGGACCTGGGGGACTGCGGAATAATGCAGGGCGGGGGCGCCGCAAGGCCCAGAGGCTGAGCAGAGCGGGGGAAGGGGCTTGCACCAGAGGCGAAGCTAGGGGGGACTGGGGGAGGTCGGCCAGGGGGGCGGGAGACCCCCTGCACCGCGTCACCCTTCCCGGGACACCCTTCCAAAAAGGAGACCCTTGACTAGCTCCCGCATACTCTCGAGGGTTTGGAGATGAAAGGTCCTTTCCGAGAGCCCTGCGCCCTGACCCTAGCCCAAAGGAATGGGCAATATGAGTAAGTAACCACCTGATTCCCACAGAGGAGGGGAACCTGCCATTACCTCCCAAGCCCAAACCGCGACGAGCCACCCACCCTCCTTCCACTGAGGCCACGCGGGCAACAGGTTTGTGCACAGGTGTAAAGAGCCAGTGCGCATTAACCATAGGGCTTTGTCCTTAACTTCCAAACCAGTGGCAGCTTCCCAACCTGGCAGCGTGGGTGAGTGGAAGGACTCAATGGGCCAGGAAGCAGGAAGACTGGGTTCTTAGTTCCTGCAACTGACAAGTGTTGTGTAACCTTATGCAAGGCAATAAGGCTTTCTGGACCTTAGTTTCCTTTTCAGTTGAATGAAAACATTAACTGCCTTATCTAACAGCCTTTGCAGGTAGACCTGGGAAATAATAAATGTAAAAGTGGTTTACAAAAAGTAAAAGTGCTGTGGAAATGCTTGATTGTTAATGCTACAGACTTCTCTTTTCTTTAACCTTATTCAACTGGTTCCTCCAGTCCCCTGACCCCCTTATTCTTGAAGGCATACTCATTAATTCAGTAATGCGTAGGCCAGTAATTGCCTCACTTGACTCTTGGAAAGAAAAGCTAATGAAATATGTGTACAAATATAAATGACATTTGGCATTGTATCAGTGCGTGTCACCTGCCACTCTGTCTTGGACATAGCTCTGCAGATACTGTTGATTGATTGATTAATTGAGCAAAAGATTATTTTGATAAGTTATCACCATAGCTACTAACCTTACTCTTTTGCCACATCCATGGTGACAATTATGTGTCATAGACGCCACTTCCCTTGGTTCACTGGTTTCTTGAAATCTAAATTTTTCCCTCTTTAATAATTCTTGACTACTTAAATCTTATCTAACATTGGATTCTACTTAAAAACAGGTTTTTTCGGTCCCTGCTTTTAAATCCTCTGCATTTATGCTGTCTAATTTATAGAGAAGGAATTCCCATGAGCATCTCCCTCACGTAGCTGATGACACTATTGGTTCTTCTGTAACTGGACATCAGCTGGTTCTATAAAACAGCTCTTTCCTAAATCTATTTCGTCAGTTCTATTGATGTGAGAAATTCATGTTATTTTCCCTAGGTTTCATAAAACACAGTTTAAATAAAACTGAATTCAACTGAAAAGTGAAATACTACTATCATTTCCAAAGACTAAATGGCCTGGAGAGATAGACCCTTTGCACAATTCAGTACATTCTTTGTATCTTGTTTTCCTCTTCTGTAAAAATAAAGTTACAAGATTTAATAGGTTAGCTACATTGTTGAAGTAACCTCAGCTCAGGATCTGCTCCCTAGGTTTAGTAGGCTGAGAACTATATTTAGTTAATAAAGGAGTGAGCAGATAGCCTTGAGATAAATACCTCATCTTACCTGGACTCTTGTACTGGAAGAACTTTAAACTTGGCAGGGTAGCTCTCTTGACTATTTGTATCCTCCCCACAGAGAAAGCAAATTTTTACGTTCCGATTTGATGTAAATTATGTGGGTATAGCAACAACTAATGTTTGATGGTTTGATATGTGCCAGGTACTATTCAAAGCACTTTTTATTAGCTCAGTTAACATCGCCCTCTTATAGATACAGAAATTGAGGTTAAGTCACTTGTTTTGTTACAAAGCAGCATAGCAGAGAGCTGAATCTGTGTAACATTTCAGAATTACATTGAGAAGTTTCTTTTGGGATCATTTACTGGAGACACCTAATATCATTTTATTATTCTCACCTTTTTTTTCCTCGAGTGCCTTCTCTGACTTGGGTACCCAGAATTTTTTACTTAGGGCCTTTTTGTCCTAGACCTTGAAGCCTATCTGAATCTTTAGATCTGTTGTTCCTGCTATTATCTATAGAAGAAACTTACTTCAGAGACCAAAATTACAATTAAATAATTTTTTTTTGGAAACAGAGACCCAAATGCTAAGATTCATTTTTTTTCAAGGATAATACATTGTGGTAGAGAACCTGTTTGACCTTTAACCTACCATAGACAAATCTTCCTAGGGATAATTCTGGATTAGCATTCATGACTTATCTCTTTTCTGTTTGCCAGCTACCAAATTCTGGTTTCCATTGTTTTGTCATATACATATTGTTTTAAATCTTTCTGTTCTTAGATGAATAATTTTGTGTAGATCTTTACGCTTCTTAGCCTTACTCTTGCTACAATATGTTTAGTGGCTAACATATAGTAGACATTCAATAAATGTTTGTGGCATTCACTTAAATTCTCAGTATATTTTTACCTTGTGATGGTTTTTAACAATACAGTCCAGTAAAAATTTTACTTCTAATTATCCACACCATTTCTGCTCTATACATTTTGAGATTATAGTGGTTTGTATTCATTTTCCTCAAGTAAACTCTTTCTCCTTGACCCTTGCTTTCTTCTTAGCCTTTTATCTAGTTTCTGGTCTCCATATGGGCATATAGGACTCTACTGAATTCATGAACTTTCACGGTCAAAAGAGGCCTGCCCCTTATTTCTGCAACCACCTTAAAATATAAGTTCCTACAAATTAGACAAGCAGGATCAGAACAAGAAAACAGCATTTTATTTTCCTTAGCTTTATCTAAGCAATTACCAGGTTAACATCTTCTAAGTTGGCATATTTGAAAAAAAGCGAAAAACCAAAACAAGTCCCTCATAATGACAGCAAAATAGAAATCAAACCTTCCAAACAATGACATTTTTAATGTCAAAATTTGAACAAATATATTTAGAAATTCACCTCTGCTTATAGCTTAAGTAAGCTAGCTCACTTATTCAGCCAGTATTTATTGAGCATCTATTAGGCTGCAGATGAAAGTGAATGTCATAGGGTCTTTGATTTCCAGGAGCTCAAATCAGTGAGGGGGAAGAAAACTGTAATGGAGTGAACAAGTGCTCTATTAGACGCTCAGGCAAAAGGAATATTACCACTGGTTCTACTTGGGGATATTGGAGAAAGCTTCACAGAGTGGGTGATATTTGAGCTGAGTCTGAAGAAAAAAAAAGCCCCTGGTAAAAACCACCTGAAGAGTGCTGGATGTAGGGAAGCTAGTTGAAGTTCAGAATGGCTGTTAACCCAGTAGGCGATACCTTGATTCTGGGCCACTAAGGATAAGTAATTAAAAATGAAAATTTCAGGACTATATGTAGATTCAAGCACATGTGAATTTAGAAGCCTTTCATTTCATACTAGGGAGCCAAGTTCAGTCATATTTCCCTAGAAATACCAGCATGAAGTTGGAAACCAGAGGACAAACACAAGGGATATGAAGGCAATCTGGTTATGATATTTGCTATTTTGTTGGTCAACTGGGATTATTTTGACTGGTACAACTGGCTGGGCTCCCCCTCCTATTCCTCCATGAACTTGCATGCTTATTTGAAGAAACAGAACCATTCTTTGGTTAAAAAAAAGCCATGAGAATTTAATTGGAAAGCTAATGGATGAATTTTTTAATTTATTGATTCAATACACACAAGTGTCTGTAAAGTGCCAGGCTCTGTGCTAGGTGTTAAAAATACTATGATGAAAAGGTAGCCATCCTGGCCATAATGAAGTTCATATCTAGCTGTTATTTTTCACCCTGGTATACATGCTTTAAAGGTACATGATCTGTAATGCATGCTTTTAAGACTGTATGCTGTTCTTTGAACATAGCCTATCATATGTTCTTTATGGCATATAGGACTGTGTAGGTGTTCAGATATTGATTACCACTAACATCCTCTTAGTCCTTGAGCAATATCTAGCTGTCATGATGTTCAGATCCAGGGGACTAAATGCAACAAGTATAATAAATGCATAATAGATTTGTGTAACAAGACAGCAAAGCATTTTGTTGCTAAAGGTTTGGAATTTTCAGTAGCTACTCATCGATACATTCTTTTGTTTCCTAGGTTAATAATCCAGTTGCAAGAGAAGGAACAGCATGCTCAAGATATCATTCCTATAAATAGCCACTTCAGATGTGTTCAAGGTACTAGCTTTAATTAGTTTTATAAAATTTTTCTGTGGCCACTATTGCATTACATATTTAGATTTATCACTGCATATAAATTAAATATATTACTCATTGCATAAAAAGTTAACATTAGTAGTCTACCATTGAAAAGATGATAAGTGTTTTGTCTAAGAATGTTGAAGGACTGTATTTAAAAATTATATATATATGGAGAGAGAGAGAGAGAGAGAGAGATCGAGATCCATCCTGTTTCACTGGCTGGGGTTAGAGAGATAAGCAGTCTTACCTGTGTACGAAGTCTTTCATGCTGACTGACTTATATGTAAATTTAAATGAAAGTCTTGGGCTTAACTGATACTCTTCTCATTATAAAGTATCAAGGTTGCTTGAATTCACACACATTCAGCACTTTGTTCCCAAACTATTTGAAATTAAGACATTTGGCAACATGACTTGCCAGATTGTGATGCCTTACACTCAATTGTATTGATTCTCAAGACAACGTTGGTGAATCCTTACAAGATCAGCTGTGGGGAGGAAATGTTTGGCTTTCTGCCCTCAAATTTGAGGACTGAGTGCAGAAAATCTATTGTTTTATTTGGTACAGTGAAACTCAGAAATTAGGATATTTGTGTAGACATGTTGCCTCTGCTATCTCAGTTTGCTCTAGAAAAGAAACTGATTTGCTAGTGAACAAATGCACTGTGTGTACAGAAGGTTCAGTGGTTTTATCAGGCAGAGCATTCTGAGTCAATTGTAGCTTCCTGGAAAACTTGAATCCTACCTTGTCCAAGTTCTTAAACAATATTGAACTTTTTTGGTCATGACAATGATATACTATAAAGCATTTGGAAAAAGCATAAAGAAAATAAGTCACCTAAATTCCCATCCATAAGAGATAAATGTCTAACATTTTCCTTTTTCTATACTTACATCCTTCATCCTACACAAAAAAATTTGCTGCTTCACATACCATTATGTTATGAGTGTTTTCCATACTGTATAGTATAGTATAGTATAGTATATATATTATTCCATTTTATGAATGGTCCATAAGTATAATTATTCCCCTGTGGTTGACATTTGGATTATTTTTCATTACTATAAATAGTAATGAGGCAAGCACCTCTGTATGTAAATCTTTTTTGCACTTCTCTTATTTCCTCAAGATTTATCCCTGTAAGTGAAAATAGTCAATGGGTATGACTTCTAAAACAACATGTTAAAAAGAAAAAGTAGTATGTATTAAGAATTAAAAAATACTCTCAAAAATGGTGCCTTGCATTGTATAGAAAAATAAACTCATGGCTATTTAGACTGTGCTGTATGAAAGAGACATATTTAAACAAGGGACCTACATGACATAGTAAATTGCTATGGTCACCTCACTTTTCAAGTTGTAGCCTTGAACAGAAGAGGAAGACCAGAGAATGTAGATTTAGTGTCCTACTAGTTTTTTAACTGCTTCTAGGGTCTCTTAGTTTCTCTTACTATTATTTTCAGTAAGAAATGTACAGGCAAATGTTAGATTGTAGTGCTGCAACTTGGGATCTGGAAAATATGCACATGCATACACCATAGTTCCCCATGACAAACTGGAAAGTTGCATCCTTGAGTTTTCGCTTCCTATTTCCCAACTTGTGCATCTATTTGAAAAACTCCAAGTTCTTAGGTTTTACAGAACTGAAAGGTACCGAAGAACAGTGGTGAACATACAAGACCTATGTACTTCATCATGCTAGGAATAGTATTGAGACTACATTCTAATATTAGACAACTTAGTTCTTCATCAATTTCTTCTGTTGTATCTGAATAATAGAACCAAATATACAATCCAGTCTTGTGAGAGAGCTAGAAAAGTCTAAGAATACTCTGGCTGTCGTAGATCCAGGATATTTCCAAGGAGTCAATACCCAGGGTTCAATTATCCAGGAGGGTCTCACAAGTACACCTGTTCAAATCCAGAGAAACCAGAGAGGAAAACATAGGTTGGGTCTAGACACTCAGGGCAAGGAAGTCCAGGAAGGCCATCAAGAGAAAAGAGAACTTGCAAACTACTTTGCACTGTTTTCTTTTTTTCACTGACATGTAATAATTGCACATATTTTGGGATATAATGTGATAATTTGATATGTGTATCCAATGTGTAATGATCAAATCATGGTAATTAGCACATCTTTGTGTTGGGAATCTTCAAACTCCTCTAGGTATTTTAAGGTCTATACTAAGTTGTTATATGCCATAGCCACCTTGCTGTGCTATGGAGCACTAGAACTTTTCCTCCTATTTAACTGTACTTTGGAACCTGTTATTCAACCTCTGTCTATCTGCACTTCCACTGCACCCTCCTAGCTTCTGGTATCCTCTGCTCTACTCTGCACTTCTATGGGATCAACTTTTTTAGCTTTCACATCTAAGTGAGAACATATAATATTTGTCCTTCTGTGCCTGGTTTATTGCACTTAACATTAATGTTCTCTAGTTCCATCCATGTTGCCACAAATAATAGGATTGCTTTCTTTTATGGCTGAATAATATTTTATTGTGCATATATACTTTATTTTCTTTTCTTCCTTTTTTTATTTTGGCCTTACCACTTCAGTCATGCACCAGCCCTTTCTGATTGTTTTTTAATTTTTTTCGGATGGGGTCTCACATTTTTTTTTACCAGATCTGGCCTCAATCAACAATCCTCCTATGCCTCCTACATAGCTGGGATTACAAGAATGTACCATCATTCCTGTCTTATTTGTTGACATGTGTTCCAAACACTTTTTTCCCCAGGCTGGCCTCAAATTGCAATCCTCCCTCTCTCAAGTAGCTACTTCCAGCAGAAAATATAGTTAACATTACATTTTCTTTATTCATCCCTCTGTGGATACCAACTGATTCCGTGTTTTGGCTATTGTGAATAGTGCTGTAATAAACATAGGAGTGCAGGTATTTAATACTTCTTGTTGGGTATGGTAGGCCTTGGGCCCACAGGTGTTCATTAAATCCTGAAAGCAAAGAACTTCAGGTATATTTTGCTACTCTGCTCTTATATACTTTGAGAGCAGAGGTAATGAGATCATTGGGAAATTTTCAGAGACTAGATCTGAGTTGAGAAAATAATCCACCCCTGGGCTTTCAGGGTTGCTGCCTTGGCTTTCTATGAAAAATACCTAAAGGACACAGATTATATTAAATGAGTACATTATAGTTGAGGGGAATTAAACTTGCCTTCACTTGAATTAACATGTTATTATGTTACCTACTATTAGTCATTCCTTGATTTGCTTTGAGAAACCATTTGGTTACTTGTTCAGTGCATTTTTCTTTTATTTGAATTGCTCATAGTCTTTAGAACCTAGCGCTAATAAAAATCCTTTAAAAATATGCTAATTTTTTTAAAAATCAAAGGATGTTTTTAATGTGTTTTAAGACCTAGGAGTAGTGACTGAGAAAAGCAGCTACTTAGTTAGGAATGTGCTTCTTTTGGTTGTAATGAATGCTTTTCCCTTCCCTGATTGTGTTCTCTTTTTTCCCCCCTCAGAAGCCGAAGAAACTCTTTTGATTGACATTGCTTCAAACAGTGAGTATCTTTCTGAATAAAGTTGATTTTCGTTCAACACATGCTTACTTGAATACTCTCTGTATTTAAGACATCTTTCTGGGTACATCTTGTTTTTTACCATCTTATCCTGAAGTCTCCATTTTCTTAAAGCAACCATACAAACTAGCATTGTTCCCCCAAAACATTTAGGCTGAGCCTAAAAAAGAAAAAGCAAGTGACTGGTAAGAATCTTTACAGAAATTGAAAATATAATCTGCTTTTCTAATGCTGAACTTGTTTGAGCTACCGGTGTTGTTGCTGTCAAGTAAATCATTCTTGTGGAGTTGATAATTGTAGGACAGGCTAGTAAAATGCTTAAAGCATTTAAGGTTTATGGGTGGTCTTGTTATTTTTTAACTACTGTTAGGTTTTAAGCTTTTCTCCCACTCTCTTTATTTTTTCATGTTACATCATAATGTTTTCACTTACATTATTTTGGAAGGCTGCAGAGTCCCTAAAATTGCTTGTCCAGGCATTCTTTTTCTTTTTTAAACTAATTTCAGTCTTTTAGTTAAGCTGTATCCCCTCAAGACATCTCTTTATCAGGAAGAACGTGGTCTTCCTTTTGCTGTTTCTGCTCTCTCATTCTTATCTGTTTGAAGCAAATCATCATTGGCTTTCTGTGCAAGCTGTTCTTTGTTTATCTGTACTCTGTTAGGGAAAGGAGAAAATGGGCACTTGACTGCTACTGTGACTACATTGTGGTTGCTATGGAAAAGCATATCTGACCACATAAATCTAAATCAAACGGTTTGCCTTATTTCTTGGTTTAGTCATTGGATGAGTGGGGCTTGGCACTCAGCTTGGAGCTGCAGTTTATACATAATGTTTAGAAACTGTCCCTGCCCTTGGCACTATTAATTTGTGCTGAATAGTTTAGGTCAGCTTTTGCAAGTTTGGGTTCTATTATTGTCTTTTTTGTTGTTTTAGGTTTTTTTTTGTTTTTGAGGCAGTGGTCTTGCTTATTTATATAGCCCAGGCTAACCTCAAACTCATAATCTTCCTACTACCTCAACCTCCCTGGTACTGAGATTATAGGCATACACCATCATGCCTGGCTTATTCTCTGCTTTAATAATAGATTTGGGAAGTCTTAACAGCTCATCCTGAAATGGCAAGTAAACATAACTGCAGGTTTCTGTTACAGGAGTCAAGAGAAAATGTAATTCAACATCTATGTCTTATTGTGCTTAGACAAGAGAAGACAAAAAAAAACACTAAAAAAGGAAAATTAGAGCAAAGGCACTTCTGTAGTGACTGACATTACTGTTAAAATAAGATACTAAAATGGCCTGTTTTGGTGTAGAAAGGTATTTGATCCAAAGCTGAAGAGTTAAACTGAGCTTATAAACAATTTATTTGGTTTTGTTGTAACCTCTCCTAGATAGAAATCAGCCATGTGTTGTGATGTAGAGTCCAAGTTGCTGGGTCATAGGAGGAAAAATAATTGACAACTTGTAAAATTCTTTGTTATCTCTGCCCATTTATAATGTACTTCATAAGTCCTTAGAACACACAGTGTATTGCAGGAGGGGAACCTTGGGTTTGTCAGGCAAGCCAAGTTTTAGTATAAATATGTATGTATTTTCTTCTAGACTTTTATTTACATTTTTATATAAATGGAATCCTTACATATAGTTTTTCTTGGGGTGGGTGTGGAGTTTATATTTGGTGCTAAGGATTGAACCCAGGGCCTTGTGTGTGATAAGCATATACTGTACCACCAAGCTACACCACTAGTCCTTTATATATAGTTTTTAATCCTGCATTTTCATTTAATATTATACTGTGGTATCTTCCCATGTCACTTGAAATCATTTTAAAACACTTTAATGACCAATATTTCACATAAGATAATATGCCAATTTTATTAAGTCAACTTCTCAGGGAATAAGATATATTTCTCTAGTCAGGTCCTCCTTTATATCTCCCAGTAACATTTTATAGTTTCTTCATTTATATCACTTTTTAGGTTAAGAATTTTGTGGTGGAATTTATTTGCTGCTCTTGTGAGTGTAAGTTTTTTCTATTTCAATTGCTTGTTGCTAGTATACAGAGCAGTTAATGAGTTCTGGATGTTTATCTTTTATTCAGCCACTTTACTATAATTTATTTTTAATAGTTTTTGCTATTTTGTTTTACATTTTGGTGGGTAGCCTCAGTCATCTTCAAAGAATAATTTTCTCCTTTCTAATAGTGATAACTATTAGTTTTGCTTTATGTATCACTACACAAATGAGACTTTGGAAACCAGTACCAAATAATGATAATGATCCTTGTTTCACTCCTGGTTTCAAATGAGAATGCCCCAGATATTTCACAGTTAAGGAATCACACCTATAATCCTAGCTACTCAGGAGGCAGAGATCAGTAGGATCTCGCTTCGAAGCCAGCCTAGGCAAATAGTTAGCAAGACCCTATCTCGAAAACACCCATCACAAAAAAGGGCTGGTGCTTATGGAAACAACCAAGATGCCCCACTACTGATGAATGGATCAAGAAAATGTGGTACTTGTACACAATGGAATTTTACTCAGCCATGAAGAAGAATGAAATCTTATCATTTGCAGGTAAATGGATGGAACTAGAGAACATCATTCTGAGTGAGGTCAGCCAAGCTCAGAAGACCAAAAATCGTATGTTCTCCCTCATATGCGGACTTTAGATCTAGGGCAAATGCAGCAATGTGGTTGGACTTGGATCACATGACAAAGGGAGAGCATATATGGGTGATATAGAAATAGGTAGAAAACCCAAAACATGAAAGCGTTTGATGTCCCCACTCCAGAGGAGCTAATACAGAAACCTTAAAGCAACAGAGGTTATCATGAGAAGGGGATCAGTAACCAGGGTAAAGATCAGTTAGAGATGAATCAACATGGGTCATAACACATGTACACAAAAGCAATGCTAGGAATATTTCTGTATAGCTATCCTCAACTCAACTAGCAAAAATGCTTTGTCTTTCTTATTAGGCTTGTCTCTTTTCTTCAACAAAACTAGTGATAAAGGCAGAACAGGACCTGCCTGGAACTGAGGGGGGAAGGGGGAGAGAGGGTGTGAGAGGGGGGCAGGGGGGAGAAATGACCCAAACAAAGTATGCACATGTGAATAAAAGAATAAAATAAAAGGGCTGGTGGAGTGGCTCAAGGTGTAGGCCTTGAGTTCAACCCTAGTACCGCACAAAAGGGAAAAAAAAGACATTCTTGCTTATTGATTCAACAGTTTTTTTTTTAAAAAAACTTATTAAAAACTGCATTTAAGCTGAACATGATATAGCACAAACCTGTAATCCAAGCACTTGGGAGACAGAAACATAAGGATCATGAGTTCAAGGTCATCCTGGGCTACATGATAAGTTCCATGGACAACATAGTGAGACCCTGTTTCAAAACAGTTTTTTAAAGAAAAAAAGCTGCATTTATTTTAAGTTTTTATATTCTTTAAAATCATAAATGTATAGTGAATTTTATTGAATATTAAATGTCTTTTCATTATTTATGGAGATGGTTATACTTTTCCTTAGCTTTCTTTCCTTATTCTGACCTATTGATAGACTGTTGTTTTAATTTCATAATATTACCTTCCCTAATTTATTTGGTGTCCAACAAATATTTGTTGAGTGCCTTCTATTTGCCAGGCATGGTTAGAAGTGCTGCAGAATCATTAGAGAACAACATAGATAAGGTTTCTGCTGCTATTTTGGTCCTTGCTTCTGTGCCTTTTGGTACTAAAGCCACATAGATGCCTATAACTTGTTAATTCATTCTATAAAAATATGAAGTACCTTTTATGTGCCAGGCATTTTGCTAGACTCTAGGGACATAGCAGAAAGCAACACAGTATTTGCATTTTATGGATTTTAATACATAATCAACTTTAAACTGAGTACAGTTTTGATAAATAGTATCAAGAAGTATATACAGTTTATAAGAAGGGTAACTAAATTAGAGTGGTCACGGAAGGCCTCTTTGAAGAAGCAACATTTAAATTGAGACCAGAAGGGCTAAAGAAAGAGACAGGTGAAGACAGGAGAGAGAATAGTATTCCAACTAAAGGGAGACACAAAGCTCCAAGTTGGGAAATAGCTTGATACTTTTCTTTGAAATAAAAGAAGGCCAGGGTACCTGGAATAGGGCTTGAGCACCAAGGCAAGACAGACTGGGGCCTGATCCAGTAGAATCTTGTAAGCCATAGTGTTTATTCTGCATTCTTAAATTAAAAAAAAAAGAGAAGTGAAAGGTTTTATGCTGAGGTAACATATTTGCAAGGAAGCAGAAAGAGTAGTTAAGAGGCTGTTTCAATAGTATACTATGGTGGCAGTAGATATGGAGAGAAGTGAACAGATTTGATAGATATATTTAGAGGTAAAATCAATAGGAACTGATTTGAGTATAGGGAGTGAAAGGAAGAGAAGTGTGAAGGATGAATCCCAAATTTCTGATGTGAATGTGGATTATGGTACATTTGCATAAATACATTTCAGAAGGAAGTAATTTTCCTTTGAGGGGATGTCATGAATTCAGTTTTTACCATGTTTAGTTGAGATTTATTTGAGACACTATTGTAGATGATAAATTTGCAGCCAAATGGATGCACCTGAAACTCAGAGGAAAGGTTCTGGGCCACTAGCATGTAGATGATATTCAAAACCATGAGAGATGATATGATTACATGTAGAGCTGTGCTGCCTAATAGAGTGGCCATTAGCTACATGTGCCAATTTATATCAATTAGAAGTAAAATTTGAAATTCAGCCCCTCGGTAATCATATTTTAAGTGTTCATTAGCCACAGGTAGTTATTATTGGTTACTATACTGGACACCACAGCTATACAACCTGTCCGTCATCACAGATATTGCTGGTATAGAATGAGAAAATGATTTTGGATTGAACTAAAGTAGAAATAAATATACTTTTTTGCCTTTATTTATTTGCAGTCCTAGGGATTAAATCCAGGGCCTACCACATGCTAGGCAAGCACTCTACTACTTGAGCCATGCCCCAGTCCAAAGAAACCTACTTTTCAAAAGTTAGATAAAGGAGGAGATACCTCATATAGCATTAAAATTAGTGACCAGCACTAGGGGTTTAGCTCAAGTGGTAGAGCACCTGCCTAGCAAATGCAAGGCCCTGATTTCAAATCCCAGTCCCCCCTCAAAAATATAGTGAACAGAGAGAGAAACAAACTAAATGATTGAAGTATCGCGTAGCCTTTTGAAGAGATTATTTTAAGCAGTGATCAACTGTTGATTGCTGATAATAACTAATAACAATAATTTGTTGTTAAGTTATTAACAAGGTTGGTTACCTTGTTACCTTTATTGTTAATAAGGTAACTAAAGAGTATCCATTGGAGTTAGCAATGTGGAGGTTATTGGTGGCCTTAAAGCAGTTACAGAGGGGTGGTGGGTGTGAAAGTGGTATTGGGTTATGAGAGACATGGGAAGTGAGCAAGAAGTGACTGTCATTTATTTTTAAAGCTTGACTAGAGGGGAATTTAGAGATGGGCTGGAGTTGGAGGAAAATACTGGGTAAAGAAGGATTTTTGTTTTTCACCTGGGAAAAACTAAGAACACAATTCTTTGCTGATGGGGTGGAGCCCGTGAAAGGGGGAAATTAAAGACATGGTGGTCTGTCTAAGGATGTTGTATTAGATTCCTGAGAGGATTGGTGATCTCCATACTCTTATGGAGAGTCCTCTATCTTCTTCCCTGAATCAGAAGGGAAAGGATGAGATCAAACATAAGTAACGAAGGTGTTGATCAGGTTTTCTGTGCTGATTTTAAAGGGACTCAGGAGTTTGAGTCGAAAGGAAGTCTTGATATTGAATTCTAGATTCTGAGATTTCTAGGAGGCTGTGGATGGTCTCATTAGGAAGAAAGGAAAGAAGCTGGTATATCCCAATGTGTCAGCCTCAAAGGAGAAAAGGTTTTTCCTGAGGGAGGAGGAGAAGGAATGGTCTGGAGGTACATTAGAACAAATAAGGACACCAGCCTTAAATTCCATGAGGTATAAGCCAGGTGTGATGGTACACATCTATTATCCCAGCTACTGGGGATGCTGAGGCAAGAGGATTGCTTGCACTCAGGAGTTCAAGGCCAACATAGGCACCATAGTGAGACCTCATCTCAAAATAAAAAAAGACACATTCCATCAAGTGTGAGAGAACATAATAGCCTCCATTAAGAGGACTGTGGGGGAAGTACCCCTCTTACGGACCAGGCAGTTTGCAGTTGACTCTGATTTTCAATTTGGATGCACCCTAAAGTCATCTGGGGAATATTTTTAAAAGTACCATCGGAGCCAGGCAACGTGTGGCACAGGCCTGTAATTCTAGCACTTGGGAGGCTGAGACAGGAGAAACATGAGTTCCAGGCCAGCCTGGGCTACATAGTGAGACTCCATCTAAAAAAGGACAAAGACGAACGAAAAACTAGCAGTGTCTGGACTTCATCCCCCAGAGGTTCTGTTTTACTTTGTCTGGGGGTGACGTTCAGGTGTCAATATGTTCTAAAAGTGCCTCTGGTAATTTTAATGCATCCAGAGTTGAGACCTGAGAGGTTTAAGGAATGTCCAGATGAAATAGAAGATATTAGTGTTTGCCGATTATAGAGGGCCAGGGGATTTTGGAAGGAAGAAGAGTAGAAGGTTGGGTCATGGGATAATTTGTCTATTTTCCAAGCAACATTGTGAGAGTATCCAGTGTTATTTTACAAGCAGTTTCTGAAACAGTTTCTGAACTCTTCTGGCCATTAAATAGGTCAGTTTTATATTTGCTAAAATATATCTTTCAAGAATTGGGAAGAGAGAGAATATGTGTTCTTGTTCTACATTTCTGTCAGGTAGAAACTGTTCCTTTTAAACTACTTTGTAAATTATCTGAGAAGGGAGGATTTCTTATGCTCTGAGAATTTTTTCCCTGTATCTTCAAGGCTGCTCTTAAGTAATACTTTATTCATCCCTCTTTGTTTTCCTCCTTATAGTGGTAACCTCATTAAATTTCTTATCTCTGGTCTACTTGGATGCTTTTTTTCATTTTTTTCACTATGTTTATCTCTTTTCTTCTGATCAATAATTTTATTTTCCTGTTAAAACTCACTCTATGAAAATAGAAACAAAAAAATGCAGAGGATGGAAAGAGAAAAAGGTTCAGAAGTGAACTTCCACCATAAGAAGCTAGGATTTTAATTTCATTTTCCCATTTTTGTTATTTTCAAGTGTGGAAGAATCCAATTCAGTAGTCGTTTATTAAGTGCCTCTGGCTGTGACGTCTGATGTCATTGTCACCAGGAGAGTGAGCAACCAGCCCAGAATTAGTCTGCCTGGGACTTTCTCTATCTTTATATTAAAGGTCTTGAGTTGTAGGAAGTCCCTCAGTCGCAGACAACCCTGAGACAATTACCCTACCCTATGAAAAGTATTGAATAACCTGTGTATGCAGCCTACCTCTTGCCTTTATGGAGCTTAGAGTTTTAGGGGTCATGGGACAGCAGCATACGTGATCAATGAGTTATAGTGAGAATATAAGCAAGTGCATAGGTTTCCTGGATCGCCACATCCAAACACTTGATTCACATGATCACTATAGTGCATCAGAAAACGGGAGACAGTATGTTATACCAATAAAAAATTAAAGCCCTTGGTAACTTTGCTTCTAATTCTACTATTTTCCAATTGGCTATACTTGAACCAAACCACTCTTAGACATATATTATTATATTCCTTTTGCAAGTTTATTGAAGACATACATTTTTAGCTTGAGGTGCTTTTCAGAGTATACCAAAGCAATCGCACTATTTTCATTTTCAATTTACTTATAAATTTAATTTAATCTGAACTTAGCCATCCAGTTTCCTTTATTCCCCTCACACTTCAGATCTGGATTGAAGGTGGTGGGAATTTGTAGCCTGGGAGTAAGCGGAGGGTGATTGAGGAATTTATCTTTTGTTATAATTTGGAGGTTCCTACATTGACATCTAAGAGGTCAGAACATAGAAAACTATGATTTAGTTTGTCTATTATTAAATGAGACTGCTCATCTATGCTGCAAATCAGCCCTGAGTACTGTCTTCCCTTAGGGTTCCCTCTCTGTTTCACCCCCTCTTTTTTGGTTTTGTTTTTTGTAGTACTGGGGATTGAACCAGGGCCTCATGTGTTTCACCCCCTCTACCACTACCACACAGAATCCCTTTGCTCTTGTACATGTGCTTCCTGTTAGAGGTATAGAATATCTGCACGTTCTCTGATAATCTGACAATATGATCCCAACAAAACATTGTGTTCCATAACTTTATGTGTATGGATGTCAATTCTTTTTAGGTGGCTGCAAAATTCGGGTTCAAGGGGACTGGACCAGAGAACGCCGCTTTGAAATCCCTGATGAGGAACACTGTTTGAAGTTCCTCTCAGAGGTCCTTGCTGCTCAGGAAGGTAACTCAAGATTCAGTAATTTTCTTTCTACTGTTTCAGTGAGAGTGAAATACCTGACATGCTGATTTAGAGGCAAGAAGCCATTAACAAAATACCTCAGGCTTGATCCCTGATAACTGATTTGTTTTCTTCAAGAATGAACCCAGGGATAGATAAGGAAACAAGTCTGTCCAGCTTTCAGGACACTGAATCAATTTCCAGAATCTTTAGTGTGATAGCATGTACAGTTTACCAGAGAGACTGTGATCCTCCTGCTACCTATAGGTGACTCCAGAACTGTCCTTAGTTCCCTAGTCACTTCCATTACTTTCAAGAATGGTGCTGGCCCCCGCATTTTAAGAGTGTCGAATGAATGGCTTTTGGTTATGGTAAATTCCATTCAGTTGCTGACCATGACCCTTATTGTTCCAGCTCAGGCACAGCATCTTGTTCCAGAGCAAAAAGACTCATCCAGCTGGTACCAGAAGTTAGACACTAAGGACAAACCTTCTGTTTTTTCAGGTACTGAAAGAACTCTCTTATCCATGGTTGCTATGATCCTTTCAGAGTCAGTAGATTTTATTTGGCTAGATGAGAAGATGGTATGAATTTAAGCCAGTGTCGGGTGCAATCTCATGGCATGGTTTTCTTGAGTCCATGGCCATTGACTAATGTTCAAGTCTAATCCTTTCTGTGGCATAGTAGCTCTTTAGAAGCCAGCTTAGCAAAATGGTATAAAGTACAGGCTTTGCAGCCAGACAGCTTGGGTTTGGATTCAAAGTCTGAGATTTACCAGTTATGTGATCTTAGTCAAGTTACTCAACAACATTGAGCTTATATCTACTTTTCTGCAACATGAAAATATTTTTAATAATACCTACTTTGTGAGATTTTTGCAATAGTTAAAGAAGATAATGATATAATCCCTTACTGTCGGCCAGGCATTGTGCTGAGTCTTCCGTAGGTGTTAGCTATTACTATTCAGGTTCCAGATTACTGTATACTTCTAGTGTTCTAGTTAGTGTGTTAGTGCTTCAGGGGTGAATGTGCTTCTTCTCCTAAGCTAAGTAATTACTACCCTTATGGTACTTTTCTTGTTTAGTAGCACTACGGATCCAATCATGAACAAATGAAAGCCCTGTCTACCCTGGCTATGGCTTTTCCCCCGCTTTGACTTTGGGTTCTGTGTCCTTCAGGGCTTCTTGGCTTTGAGGATAATTTTTCATCTATGAATTTGGACAAGAAAATAAATTCACAAAATCAGCCTACAGGGATTCATCGGGAACCCCCACCCCCACCCTCTTCAGTGAATAGAATGTAAGTCCAGTGTTGAAACATATTTTCCCTATAGGAAGCTTATATTTTAGGTAATTTTACTTTTGAATTTCTCATTTATTTACTAGGCTTCCACGTGAAAAAGAGGCTTTGAACAAAGAACAACCCAAAGTGACTAATACCATGCGGAAGCTGTTTGTACCAAATACTCAGTCTGGGCAGCGGGAGGGTCTCATCAAACACATCCTGGCAAAGCGAGAGAAAGAATATGTCAACATTCAGACTTTCAGGTTAGTCTGTTTTCTACTTAGTGACTCTAAAAAGTTAGATATTAACAGATAATGACCTTCTGTTTTTTACGATTGAGAATCAAAGCATGATAAAAGGGAATAGGCATCTGATTCAAGCTCTTGTATCTATGGTGAGTGATAGCACACATTTCTGAAATAATGCAGGTGCTACAATTTCCCTAATAATACTGTGTCTTCTAATGTTTCCTTTCACTAATAGGGAACCAAATCAAGTTTACATGCAATAGAGAATTGTCCCCTAGCACATTCCGTAAGCAAGTGTATTTATCTATCTGGCCTGCTGAATTTTTTCCAGTTAATATTGGAAAATTATAGTCCATTATTACCACTAGGTCTTAACTTACTTTGGTAAGTCAACTAAAGAAAGTTTCAACCAGAACTTTTAATTAAAAAGTCCAGATCCCTTGGATTCTTTTCCTTGTATGTATTTCATTTCATCTTAGCTTGTTAATAATCCTCTTTTGTGGACCTGGTGTGTGTGGTGTAGAGAGGGTTAGATGTGTCATGGTGTGTATCCCCTGTATATAAAGCAACAATACATCTTTCTCTTTCTTATGTACCCTTTGTGGTCCAAGACTCCAGTCCCATCTGCTATTCCATCCTGTCTTGTTTATTCTAGTTTGATGATAACTATATCCCTATGCTAAAACCTGCAATTTCTAATATTCTGCAACATGATGCTGATATTCATAGGTAAACAGTTAAGACAGTCATAAGTTTTCCCTTCTGCTTTTCTCCTTACTGTGGTATTTGCTTCATCAAATTTTCCTACATGTCCTTGTAATCCTTTGGGAAGTGAGTTTTTGGATTCACCTACAGCTCTTTATGAAACTAGTATGAAGTCTCTTCCCTATCCATAAGCTTTCCCTTCATGTATGAGTTTGAATGCAGTTTAATTGAAAGGAAATGTGTAGAGTAGTTAACTTTGTGCTTTTTAAATAGAGACTTGGTTCCTTTCTGTAGGTTCACTTAATGTAAAACTTAGAGAAAATGAGCCCGTGCCTGTATATTCTACATTCAAGAGGTTTTTTCTATGTATCTGGCAAAACATTTTGAGGAATTTATGTTAATGTATTGTGAATATACCTTTGCATAGAAGTGACAAGAGAGACCTTCTGTTTGCTCTTACATAATCCTTCTTTTCAAATGATTTTTTGGTGTTGCATATTAGATTTTTTGTTGGAACTTGGAATGTGAATGGCCAATCTCCAGATAGCGGGTTAGAACCTTGGCTGAACTGTGATCCAAATCCTCCTGATATCTACTGTATCGGGTAAAGAACACTTCTGGAACTTCCTTTTCACTTTATGTTTGATATTCGTTTATATGATGATAGTTTATATATTTTGTCTTTTTTCTAAAAACTGTTTACTAAAAACCTACTGTGGACTATGTGAAGGTTAACTTGTGGTTCAAATTCCTGAGATCAGAATGGAGCAGATACCTAATATGATATAAGGAAGCATCTAGTCCTCTTCAAACCCATAGAAAACTATACTCTTCATAGAAACTGAGACTTGAGGTCAATTCTGACAGTGATTATTCCTAGTAGTTATAAGAGCAAAGCTTTACCATTATCTCTTGTAGGAGGTTTGTGGGGCTTTTTGTTTTGTTTTGTTTTTTGTTTTTGCATAGCCTATGAATATACTGGTTGGGAGAGTCCTTAGAAAACTACTTGTCCTTCCTGATAACCTAGGTCAACAAAATAGTTTTATAAAATTTATGTCCCACTATTGTTTTGTTTTGTGTTTGCTCTAATGTCTCAGCAAATGGGAAAGGAGATAGCTAGAGATAATTATGGGATATGTATAGATCCCACATCCTTGTTTTCCTCAGATTCCAAGAGCTAGACTTGAGCACGGAAGCCTTTTTCTACTTTGAATCTGTGAAAGAACAAGAATGGTCAATGGCTGTGGAGAGGGGTTTGCCTTCCAAAGCCAAGTATAAGAAAGTAAGCTGCATTTAATTATCTTTTTTAGCATATGACTAAATAGAACTTCCTGAGACTTATTCCATTATCTATAACCTGTTCCAAAAGAATGGTTTAATTGAATTCTCCCCTGTGTGAAATACTGAGATAGGGTAGACTAATCCTTCGTATTTATTTCCTAGGGAAAAAAATTTCCCTAAGATTTCTGATCTTGTATTTTCATTGCTTAAATAGTTTTTAGGAGAAAAAAATGATTATTCTCACATCAATAATTAACTTGAAATAATTACACATAAGGTAGCAGATTTGTATAATAAAACTTTAAGATTGAAATTATTCACTGGCATGGACAGAATTAGACGTCTCATAGAAAAAGAAATGTGAGGCATGTGGGTGCATAGAGTATGCTTGAGAATCAGAACAAGAATAGAAGTGTTGTGGAATTTAAACAAGTTCTAAACTTGGTTGTAGGTCAAGAGTAGAGTTGACTTTAACAAGGTGGTCCAATTTGTTGGTCTTTGGAAGACATCTAACTACCAGAAGAGTTATTTTCATTACAAGGCTACCATACTAATCTCTTTAAAAGGAGTAATCTGTGTAATTTTCCTCTACATCTTTTAACAGTTTATATAGGGAACATAACTCCTAAAGGTGTTATTCCTCTCTAGCTATAGTTTACAGGTTAAAATAATCAAAGTTAAAAGGATTATGTTTGTAGATGTAGATTTCTTAGAAAATTAGAAATCAGAAACTTGTAAGGCAAAATGGAAGGAACAAGCTGGGATCTTGGCTTTGTCTTTATTGTTTGAACTTTTAATGCACTCTTGGTAAGCTAAAAAGTGATTAAAAGAATAGGTCTAGAGTTAAGTGTAGTTACTATCCCTCAAGGATTTTAACTTTTATTGGTCAGAGCCAGATTAGAGCTTCCCAAGAGAATTTTGGTTGCCACTTTATGGGACCCACTGGGAAATTAAAGGATTTAAATTCAGATTTGGACATCACTATGGCATTTTGATAGAACATTTAGTTTTAGGAAGTCAGCTGTGGCAAGAAATGGTACTGGCATTAATACTTTATAATTCCCTGGAACTCATAGGTTCAACTAGTCCGCCTTGTTGGGATGATGCTCCTTATATATGCCAGAAAGGATCAGTGCCGGTACATCCGTGATGTTGCTGCAGAAACAGTTGGAACTGGGATAATGGGGAAAATGGTAAGTTACGTTCAGAAATGACCTTGACTATTATTTATGGCCATGTAAAATTTAGTTGCTAGTTGTGTGTACTAACTGTGAATAATTATTCTTGCTAACAGGGAAACAAAGGTGGGGTAGCTGTGAGATTTGTATTTCATAACACTACTTTCTGCATTGTCAACTCTCACCTGGCTGCCCATGTGGAAGACTTTGAGAGAAGGAATCAAGATTATAAGGATATCTGTGCAAGAATGAGTTTTATGGTCCCCAATCAGACCCTCCCACAATTGAACATCATGAAACATGAGTGAGTGATTAACTCTCCTATGGCCTTTGAATAGTGGACATAAAGAGATTGAATGTGGTAAGACACTATAGAGCTGTGAAGAGAGAGGGATTACCATTTAGGGATTGGGTCACAGAGGGTTTTTTTTTTTTTTTTGGAATAGCAAACTCATTGAGGCAGAAAAACTAGATATCAGAAGAAAGATTAGTTGTATTAGTGGAACATCAGTAATGCTGGAGGGGGTCTGTGAATTGCAGTCAATTTTTGGTTTTTATTATAAAATAGATATGTTCATTATAAATGTAATAAAAGGTAAAATTGTCAGACAGATAAATTAAAAATCCCTCATTTCTTATTCTCTACTCTCCCCAGCCAGTACTTCTCAGCAAAGGAAACTGTCCTTAATAGTTCGATGTGTACCTTCTAGATCTGCACTATCCAGTATGATAGCCAGTAGCCATATGTGGCTATTGGTCATTTGAAAGTGGCTAGTCCAAATTGAGGTATGCCGTAAGCATAAACTATATGCTGGATCTCCAGCACTTAATAGGGAAAAATGTATACTATCTCAATTTTTAAAATATTAATCACATGTTGAAATAATAATTTGGATATATTGGGTTAAGTAAAATTTGTTGTTATTTTTGTTTATTTCTTTTACTTTTTAAATGTAACTACTAGGAAATTTTAAATTATATTATGACATGTATTAGAATTCCATTAAACAATGCTATCCTAGACTTTTTTCTATCCATATTCAAACACACACATACTTGTTATATAAGGCCATATTGTCCTATTTATTACGGATCTCTTTCCAATCTAGTATATACAGGCCTATGTTATCCTTTTTAATGGCTATGACTATTAAAAATAAGGATGACAGATAGGTTCATGAAGAATGGTA